TATCACTGTGGACGGCAGTACACGTAGTGGCGAAGCGCGCAAGAGAGCGTGCGAAGACAACTACTATATATAGCCGCAGAATTGAAAATCTGCAATTATGGTCCGATCATAACGAGTGATACACCAATCGAAAAGTATCGCACTAACTAAGAAGATTGCATACCAAGACTTTCGAAGTATAGATTTGTTTCGGAGAAAAAGCGGTGAAAGTGTAAAAGAAAAAATTTGGAAAATTGGAGCTACTGGATACGGTGGGGATAAAAGCCCCAAGCTGTTTAGCTAGTTTTATTCTTACTGAGAATACGCGTCGAATGGCACCTCATTTGTTGAAATTCGATGTTCCGTTCAAAAGTAATTCAAACAAGGAAGAACGCTATAGTCGAGTACCTCGACTATCAGAAAAAAAATTTCTGATATCAACAATTGTGACGAAAAATGATAGTACATTCGATAAAATAAATAAACTATATTAAATTTATGTATTCGGCACGCTACAGCAGAAAATTTACGTGTAGGTAAATAAATATTTACTGTTTCGGGCCGAAATCATAAATTTAATATAGTTTATTTATTTTATCGAATGTAATATCATTTTTCGTCATAATTGTTGATATCAGAAATTTTTGTTAAAAGCGCTTTCGCCACTACTTTTTACCTCGTTAAGAGGTGTTTTTGTTTGATCTAGTCTAGAATCAATAGCACACTTTATATAATACGCATATGATTTTGGAGTACGTTCATTAATATTAATTAATTTGGGGCTCTGGTGTAGAATAAAAACGTTTTATTTCCCAATTTGAGTGGACTGTATTTCAATTATTAAACTTTTGTCACATTTTCTTGTGTGTCCGATGCTTTCCGTTGTAGTCTTAACACTAAGTCCTAAAAAATCTCTAAAGTGTGACGCAGCACCAAAATACATTAAAAAGGCAAAAGTTAGTATTTCATATACCAAAGAGAATAAGATTCAAAATTAAATAACGGCTGCAATGCGTTCATCAACATCCCGGGCCGCCCTGAAACAATGTTTCAGAATTAGGCAGTACTGCTAACTTGGTGATGGGCCGGGTCATCTCTCCAGTAGACGTCTTAAGTTTTACAGCGCGTACAAGTCCATCTGGTCCAGGATGAGCTTCCACTACACGGGCTAGTATCCAAACTGCTGGAGGGAGATTTGAGTCCTTGACGAGGACTACATTGTCTACAGCGATGTTGCGTTCCTTGTTGTTCCACTTTTGGCGTTGCTGCAGGGATGTTAAATACTCTTGGTGCCAGCGTTTCCAAAACCCTTGATACATCGATTGCAAGTGCTGCCAATAGTCCAGACGATTGATCGGCAAATTAGTCAGATCTCCCTCTGGAACAGTTGTAAATGGGCGCCCAATTAAAAAGTGGGCCGGAGACAAGTAGGTGAGGTCGGTGTCAGGTGTGTAGCATAGCGGTCGCGAGTTCACCACTGCACTGATCTGAGCAATAAGAGTTTGCATTTGTTCACAGGTTAGAACAGTTTTTCCCACAACTCGACGCAGATGTAGTTTGACGGAACGTACTGATGACTCCCACTTCCCTCCCCAATGTGGCGAATGGGGAGGTATAAAACTCCATTTGATTCCATCATTGGCCAGCGATTGTGTTAGATTGCGTTGATGCTCCTGCGAAGATAGAAGTTGCTGCATCTCATCTAATGCCCGTTTGGCACCAACAAAATTCGTCCCGTTGTCGCTGAAGATTTGTGAGCATTTTCCTCGAAGGGACATGAAACGCCGAAGACATGCCAGGAATGCGTCTGTACTAAGATCGGTGGCCAGTTCCAAATGTATGGCTGATGTCACCAGGCAAACAAAGAGGCATATGTAGCCCTTAGTTTTTCGGGGATTGCGCCCTCTCCTTTCCTTAAGTATAAATGGTCCAGCGTAATCACAGCCTGAGTGCTGGAAGGGTAAAGCTTCTGTTATACGGATGCCTGGTAGATCGGCCATGAATTGGTGCTCCGTGAGTTTACGTTGGCGAAAGCATTTGATGCAGTTGTGAACCAGATTTCTTATCAGGTTGCGCGCACCAAATATCCAGTACTTTTGACGAACAATTACAAAAAGTGCAGAAACTCCTGGATGAAGATTTGTCGTATGCTCGTGTTCCAAAATCATTCTTGTGTTGCGGTTTGACTTGGGAAGCAGTATAGGGTGTTTTACATCAGCTGGTAATTGTGAGTTGTCCAGTCGTCCACCAACTCGAAGAAGGCCATCCTTGCAGATAATCGGCGAGAGCTTCACCAACTGGGAGCGGCTGTGAAGTGGCTTGTTTTCCGTCAGTAGTTTGCGGTCTTCCATGAAACATTTCTGAGCCTCTTGCAGGCAAAGAATGCGAGCAGCCTGAATCTCCTCAAAGGTGAGCATCTTTCCATTTGCCAGCGTTGGTCTTTTGGTCTTTTGGATGAAGCGCAAGGCGTAAGCTACAACGCGTACCAGCTTTGTCCAGGACGAGACGCGTTGAGTCAAAGCTTCGATTGGAGACAATGAGCAGGTTTCCTGTGAGGTTAATGCGGTGGTCTTCACTTCCACTTTTCCATGGTTTTCTAAAAGGGAAGAACAGAACTTTTTAGAGGTCATCTTTACCGCAAGCATTTCTGGATCTTGCAGCCATGAAGGTCCCATCCACCATAGGTCGAAATGGATATGGTCCGAAGCAAGCATTCCTCGTGTGGTGCAGTCCGCCGGATTCTCCTTTGTGTTTACATGATGCCATGCGTTGCGCGGTAAGGCTTCGAGTATTTCTGAGGTTCTGTTGGCTACAAATGTTTTAAGCTTAGATGGTGGATGTGAAAGCCAGGCCAAGACTATGGTTGAGTCGCACCATGCATGCACTTCAATCTCCTTGTGTTGTAGCGCAGCCTTGACTGATAAGAACAGTCGACTCAGTAGCAAAGCGCCACACAGCTCAAGACGCGGTAGAGACTGCTGCTTCAGCGGAGCAACTCTGGTTTTTCCTGCTATGAGTGAAACAGATACGGTGCCATCTGATCGCACCACTCTGCTATAGATGACTGCGGAATATGCCTTGATGGATGCATCTGAAAATCCATGCAGTTCGATGTGATCTTCATTGTTTTGGACAAACCGTGGCAGGCGTAGGTCGCGAAGAATGTGTAGGTCGTTACGGCATTTATTCCACCAGTCCGCAATTTTTGGAGGAAGCTCCGTGTCCCAGCCGAGATCGAGTAGCCACAATTCTTGGAACAGAATTTTAAACTGCACTACCACTGGCGACAGAATACCCAGCGGGTCAAAAATGCGTGCCACATCTGACAGCACTTGGCGTTTGGTGTTGTGCGGATTTGTTGTGAGGCAAACCTTGTAGGATAACATATCCTCTTCTGGATCCCAATGAATGCCAAGAACTTTTGCTGTAGAATTGGATCCTTTGCCTTGTACTTCGGTTGAAGCGAGAGATCTGTCGGCGACACGTGATGAATTGGAAACCCATTTACCAAGTTCCATGCCTGCACATTTCATCAACTGGATCAACTCATTTTGATTGCGAATGAGCTCGTCCTCGGTATGTGCTCCGGTCAGTACGTCGTCTACATAAAACTGCTCCTTCAAGATCTTTGCAGCGGTAGGAAAGTCGTGTTGATGGTCGTGAGCTAACTGATCCAGGACCCTCACTGCTAAAAATGGTGCGCAGCATGTGCCGTATGTTACCGTGGACAGTTCGTAGTGTTTAATAGGAGTCGTTTCATCTTCTCTCCAAACAATTCGCTGAAAGCCACAATGGTTGGCAGCCACCCAGATTTGTCTATACATTTTGACGATGTCTGCTGAGAAGACAAACTTGAACATTCTGAAACGCATGCAAATCGAGAAAAGGTTTCGTAGAATGCTGGGTCCAATGTGCAGAGCTTCGTTTAAGGACCGTCCATTCGTGTCCTTGAATGAGCCGTCAAATACGACGCGTAGTTTTTGAGTAATTACAGGATGATGTGGCAAGTAAAAGCTCGGCTTTTTGTCAATGTCTTCTGGCGATAGTTCTCGCATGTGGCCCAACTCAAGATACTCACGCATAAATTGTACGTACTGTGAATGCAGATTGGGGTCTTTCTTTAGGCGGCGCTCTACACCCCTGAATTTTGTTAGCGCTCCCTGTAAAGTATCCGAAAACTGTTCCCTGGAGTTTTTGAACGGAAGTTCGACGATGTAACGCCCCTTAGAGTCCCGAGTGTGCGTCTTCACAAAGTGCTGTTCAACTTCATCGTCCTCCGGTTTCCCATGGAATTCCTGGTTGACATCCTCCAGCTCCCAAAAGCGTCTTAGCGATTCGTCAATGTCAATAGCCGTGTGCATTGTTGTTGTAGATGAACATCCGGTAGTAACGATAGATGTGATGACCCATCCAAATATGGTCGAAATGGCGATGATGTTGCCCTGGTTGTCGAACATCTTTTGACCGGTGAATACGGTCCAAACGTAGTCGCTGCCCAGGAGTATATCAACTGGCGCCAACGATTGATAGTCAGAATCCGCAAGCTCAAAGCCAGCGAATGCCTTGAGTGCTGAGGCGGCGATATCATGTCTTGCCAACGTGGAGGTAATTTTTCTGAGTACGTGAGCACGCACCTTCATTGTGTGATCTGAGATCCTTGACTGCAAGTCCAGTGTGCTGCAGCCTCTAGTTGTCTCAGCCTTGATTGACGAGATTCCGGTCACCAAAATTCGTGACGGTGAGCGTGCCAGTCCGAGAGCCTGTACGCACCGCTCGGAGATGTACGACAGTTCCGAGCCACTGTCCAAAAGCACCCGACAGGTAGTGTGCGATCCTGTTGCGTTTCTTACAAACACTAGAGCTGTTGGCAATGCACTTTTTCGTAGCCCTTGTGGCTGTGTTGCGGTTGTTGATCCGTTGCAGAAGGATTCAGCTGTGGGAGCCACTTGTGCCCGTGCGATATGGCTGATAGTGACGGTAGCATCTTCGGGAGCGCTTGGGATGTATCTTTCATCATCTCGTGAGTGTGTCGCAGCGACAGCGGCTTGCGAACCAAGAATATCTGCATGTAGCAGAGAGTGGTGACGATTGTGGCAAAACTTGCATGTGAATTTGGATTCACACTTTCGCGACACATGCCCAGGCTTAAGGCAGTTAAAACACAGTGATTTTGCCTTAACAAATGTGCGTCTCTGCTCGATTGACAATTCACCAAACTTTGAGCAGGCGTAGATCTTGTGCTCCTTCGAGTTACACTTCACACAAGTGTTTGCTTCCATCGATACTAAAGCGTGTGACGATCGCTTTGCCTTGCCATGTTGTGGGCCAACCTTGGAGTCTATGTCTGACTCACTTTTGCTGAGCTCAAATTCCTCGCAACGTCGGTCTAAAAACTTGAGTAGATCATCCACAGACGGAGATTCCAGTTCCCGGCTTCCTTCGATCCATTTGCGACGGGTTTCCGCGTCGATCTTGGCTAGGATGAAGTGTATAATCCAGCAGTCCCTATTAGTTTGCCCTGCTGCATCCAGGCCGCGTACAATTTCGGTGGCTCCGTCCGTCACCTTTCGCAGAACCGTTACATCTGCTCTGGCGGTCGAAGGTAAGTTAACAAATGTCTCCAGCAGAGTGTTAACAATGTAACGTGGTCTATTGTACCGATCAATTAGGCAAGTCCAAGCAGCCTCGTAAGCTGCATCCGTTATTGGCATATGTCGAATCAAGTCAGCTGCTTCGCAAGTGATGTACGTTTTCAAGTAGTGCAACTTTTGTATTGCTGTCAAATGCTGCTTGCTGTGGATCGTACTCTCGAAGAGGTTTTTAAAGGCTGGCCACTCCTTGTAGTCGCCAGTGAACAGCTTGATATGGATTTTTGGAAGTTCATTATGCATTACATTTGCTGCCGAGTTTGCCCTTAAAAGCGTTGCTTGTTGCTCAGCCAAACGCTCGTTGAGCTGTTGTTGTTGTTCCAGAAAACGAACTAGGTTTTCGTTTCCCACTCCTGATGCCATTGATGCGGCCTCATCAGGGTTGCCAGATTGTCTGAAGTTATTGCCTTCTCTTTCATTCTCTTGAGATTCTTCACAGGTGCGTATGAGGTTGCGAAATAATGTGCTTGCTTGTAAGTACTTGTCCTCGTACCTTTCGTTGTCGATGGCTGGATCGACTTACCCTTCCTCTTCGTCAAAAAGGACCATTTGGTCGCTGATGGACTCGAATTCTTTCCAGATGATGTTGAGCCTTTCCAATGAAACTTGTAGTTCATCAAGCTCCCATTTTGATCCCGCACGTGGATCTTGAGACGCCGTTAGCAAACGCGTAATGCTTGCCTTCGCACGGCTTCTAGCTGCCTTCAAAAGTTTAAACTGATCCATGTTAATCAGTAACTAAATTTGGCTAGAAGGACCAAAGATATGGTGTAGAATAAAAACGTTTTATTTCCCAATTTGAGTGGACTGTATTTCAATTATTAAACTTTTGTCACATTTTCTTGTGTGTCCGATGCTTTCCGTTGTAGTCTTAACACTAAGTCCTAAAAAATCTCTAAAGTGTGACGCAGCACCAAAATACATTAAAAAGGCAAAAGTTAGTATTTCATATACCAAAGAGAATAAGATTCAAAATTAAATAACGGCTGCAATGCGTTCATCAACAGGCTCACTACAAGAATTTTTGGTTCCAGAATGCATTCAAAATCCGCTTAGACAAGAAATGGAACCTGAAGCTGATGTTGAACTTGGGTAAATTCTAATGTATTATTCGGGGGCTGCGGCATCTTTGAAACCTTCCTACTGCAGAGCGTCTTGTGTTTCAATGCAGCTTCCTGGGTTCCGGAAAAATTCAAACACTCGTTGCAGACAAATTGCGCCCTCCTCTGATTTTCTCTTTGAGCAGTAAATAGTCTTTGAAATATAAGTATATACAAACTATTTAATTGCTTAAAAGAGATAAAAATTAATAAAAGAATTTACCTTGAAATATTTTTAATGTACATATAATGTCCATTTCCACCGTCTTCCAAAAACATCATATTGATGTGAAGAGGTTTTTCCACTTCCGATTGAAAAAGTGGTCCAATTAATTCCCTCGTCTCTTCAATTTATCCGAATACGTTTAAACTCATATGAGTATTCTTTTCTAAAAAAATTTTTATACATTTCAAGGGGGAAAGTCAACCCTGTGAAATCTAATAATATTTCATCACTTATACGAACTATCTCCAGCGATATATCAATATTTTATGTAGAACATCTTTGCGGCCAGTTAACAATTCTCAAGGCAGAAATCAAAGCCCATTTAAAACAATAATGATCATTTTCGTTACAAACGTTAACTATTGCTTTTTTCGTTAAAGGAAAACGAGGTAGTGGTATGAAAGAAGAACCAGCCATCGGTGTATAATGATTCACATTCCTTTCCAAGCGAATCAATTTTATAAGAGACCATCCACTATCTCTCTCTTGAAATTCTTGTGTTTTTGAAATTATATCCATGGTATGTTCATGGAAGATATTTTCTAAGTCAGAATCTTTATTCATGATCGTCATTTTACTTTGACAACTTTTCATATCAATTTCTTCAGATTCATTTTTAAAAAGTATATACTCTGCAAACAGTTCAAAGTTGACTTTTGCTGAAGTATAACTTTCTAACAGAATGCTGAGATGAGGTAGCAGGGACAATCCAGCTTCACTCAAGAAACTCTCAGGTAAGATCAAGTCCGATCCATCGTTTACATACATGTAATGTAGTATTCTTCCCTTGAATCCATCAGAAATTTTTTTGACTCTTCCGTCAAGGGGTTGAGTTGCATTTCGCTTATGCAACTCCGAACGGACATGATTTGCCCACTTATTCTTTAGCAAGAAACACTTGCAGGATTGGCAATACTGATTTTGGTTATTCATTTTATTTTATTCGTTTTGTTTAAATTCTTTTTTCACGATAACTTTTTCACTTTTACTTAAGTTGTCTTTGACGTAGCAGAGTATCCCACTTCAAGACTATTTTTGGAAGACTAACTATTGTCCTCGATCATTTATAGTGCTTGAAGTGGGCGTGAACGATAATATTGAAGATGAGAGATGCATACTTAAGATTTTTTTAAATTCGAAAACAATATAGGCAATTCTAGTAGGTTACATCGACTATCAATTGGTTAGAAGAGATGAGAAGTAATGATTTTGAAAAATATTTGATACAAGTGTAACCAAAAGGACACCATTAAGTCGATAAAGGAGACACAAAATCATAGAATAAAGGAGAGTGTTGGTTAGAAGAGGTCGCACATACTTTGCTGTAGGTGGGAAAGGAAAGGTCATTTTTTATACACACCATCATACTCAGGTAGCCAATAGGGGACAGTTTGGAAAAAATCATTTCGAGTTTGGGAAAAAACAAAGATTTTCATTTGTTGAATTTCGAGAATGCACATTTTTGGGTAAAAGAAGAGGAAAAATCAAAGATTTATCATTTCTTGAATTTCGAGAATGCATATTTTTGGGTAAAAGAAGAAGATGAAAACCTGTATAAAATTTCCTTATAAATTGTGTAAGCATATTTAAAAGGGTAAGACGAGATTGTTGACTTAGATAGACAACATGCATTCAGTTAAAATAAATAACTTTTTAAATGTATTTGACGGAATTCTGTTCTATGCACACTATGTACGGCTCCAGTTCATACAATAAAAACTCTTTGAATGTGAACGAGGTAATATAAAAACATCTATTCATGGAAATCACATGGACACCTGCGTGTGGAGCAATGATGCAGCCACTGAGGGAGTTGATACTTGTGTATGCCATCGAATTTCGGATTACAAAAAGGAAGCACTCAACATTATGAATAAATACTATAATCTAGAAAAAACAATGAAAATGATTAAATAGCATAATAAAACATGTTCGCAATACCAAAATAAACTTCTGACTTTTTATTTCGAGTTAAAACAAGGAGGAACGCTATAGTCGAGTACCTCGACTATCAGATACCCGTTACTCAAAGGGAAATGGAGATATGCAAGCAGCAAAGCGAGATTAAAATGCGCCACCTACCGGCGGTAGACAGATTTAAGCGTTATGGGCGTTAGAGTGGGCGTGGCGAATTTATTTTTGGATCAATCGATAGGTATTGACGACACCAATACATTTCAGTTAAAATTTTTTATCTAGCATGCAAATTGTGGGCGTCACAGGTTTTCGCGGCTTGTGGGCGTTTAAGTGGGCGTGGCAAACTTTTTTTTGGGTCAATCGATAGGTATTGATGAGAACAATTTCACTTAAAATTTTCTATCTAGCATCAAAACTGTAGGAGTTACAGTTTTGGGCGGTTTGTGGGCGTTAGAGTGGGCGTGGCAGTCTACTGAAACAAACTTGCGCTGCGTAAGAAGCTCAGGAATCTGTACGCCAAATCTCAATAGCCTAGCTCTCATAGTTTCCGAGATCTCAGCGTTCATCCGGACAGACAGACGGACAGACGGACATGGCTAGATCGACTCGGCTAGTGATCCTGATCAAGAATATATATACTTTATGGGGTCGGAAACGCTTCCTTCTGCCTGTTACATACTTTCCGACGAATCTAGTATACCCTTTTACTCTACGAGTAACGGGTATAATTACAGGTACGGAGAATGGAAAATATTTCCTTGACTGAGACATGTCGGCTACTTGCGAGTTGTTGCGCGGTCGTGATTTCAACCCCTATTATGGGAACGTATTAGAGCTAGCAGTCAGCCATGAGGTCGTTGGAGTGAGGCCCATGATCTTGTCAATGAGCGTGCGCCTTCTGGGTTGTGCATGTGTCCCTTTTATTGCGGTCAGGTAATTGACAGGTGCGCATGTACGGGTAGCTCTTGCTTGAATCCCTTTTATGACATATTTATGACCCATTTGTGAAAAGGAGAGAATCTTAGACAATTTACCAGTTAAACGTTCTGGGGCAGAAACAAAAATGTGTATTTGAAAATATTCTTCATCTGAAAATCATTAACTTATGAGATTTATTTTATTGGGGTTTGTTTTGATTTCTAAATTAGTTTTACAATCAAAGGAAACATTATTCCCCAACATGATCGGACATGTTCCTCTAAGATAACCATCTTTGAATACTTTGGGTGTGCGACCTTTCACACGTGCACAGCAACACCTGTGATAATGAGGCAAAAGGGTACGTGATCACACCTTTCCCCAACATGATCGGATATGTTCCTCTAAGATAACAACCTTTGGATACTATGGTTGTGCGACCTTTCTCACGTACACGTTTTTCACCTGACTATTAATTGCACATAATGAGGGGAAGGATACATGATCAATATTGTCACATGGGGATGTGGTGGCGATGGGGGCAATTAAGTATACTCTTTATGGACATGATCGTGACATTTTTATGACTTCAAAGCCCATTAAAATCAGTTAATTTATTGAATTATGCTAATTGTCCTAGAACCCGCATATGTTAATGAGGGGGGAGGGGGGCCGGGGCCATTAATATGCTAATTGTCCCAGAACCCGTCTTTCCCTACTACTTCCCGGTGACCCGGAAACCATATAAGGCTGATAGTAAACTGATTAGCCATCTCGTGGAGAGATTTGCGACAGTCTGCTATTGTACGGGAGTTGGTGTTTGTCGAGTAGATCGATTTAATAGCCGCTTGGCTGTCACTATATATGTTTAGGTGTCCTCTTTGGAGGCTTAAGTTCCCCAAACAGGTTAGTGCTTCTTTTATAGCGTGGACCTCCGCCTGAAAGACATTACAGTGGTTCGGGAGCAGGAGTGACTTCCTGATATCTAATTGTTCGGAGTATACACCTCCGCCAACGTGTCCTTCTAATTTGGAGCCATCTGTATAGAAACAGATTGCGTCCGGCGTGCCCGGTCGGCCCTGTTCCAATTCCTCTCTATCAGGAATCAGGGCCTCAAAGGGTGTGTGACTATATTCAATGGATTTGCATAGATCCGTTATCTTCGGAATCGTTTTGTCATGCTGGAGAATTTTAGCATTGCCATTTTTCCACTGCCCTGTGTCCCTCAGTCGAATAGCTGCCGATTTGGCCCTTTCCATGCCTGCTAAGTCCAGGCTAGGGATGTTCAAGATCGCGTTCGGCGCTTCATTCGGGGTGGTTCGAAGGGCTCCACTAATACACAAAGCCGCCATTCGCTGTACTTTGTTTAGAGGAGTCAGTACAGTAGGATTGGCTTGACTACCGCTGTGTATATCCAGTTGACTGTTCTAGGGGACATCTTAGCCGAATTGCTCTTTTTCAGGAGCAAAGTGCAATGATCGCTTTCTTGGTTCTCTCTTGGTTATTTAAGCCCCATTTGAGGCGCTTATCTAATACTTTAATGATGGACGTTGATGCACTACGAGCAGTACAAACAAGTGGCCCAACGACACCAAGCACGTGATTGTTACGCGCGGGGCCCTTTTATCAATTTGGGCAAAAAATACGAATTCGCGAGGAAGATACAAAAAACAAATATAGACGGGACACAAATGAAAATAAAAGAAGCATCTAAGAATGAAGCAAATGAGTTAAAATATTAGTTTTTAATACCGGGATAGAAGTTGAAGTGCAAATTAAATGATAAAGGTTGTTATAATTATTACATAGATCGTGGCAAATTTAGGGGATAATAATTTCGTGTTAGTCTAACAGGAACATTGAAAGTTAGGCGGTTTACAAGTTCTACAGAATCAATATCACCTCTTATAAGATTTGGCATAAAAATAGTACCAAGCATTGT